GATCTGGGTCTTTGCTTTACTGGTGTCTGTTCCCACTTTCTATTTCTACCACCGGTATGAGCCATCACACCACAACGTCCAATGGGTCAATGGAACAGAAGAGGAAGAGACTCCAGTAGCTCCACAGTACGTCTGCGAGTGGAAATTTGAGGACAGTGAGGTAGCAAAGATGGTGAAGGTGGCTGTTCCCGGCACCCAGCTTGCCATTGGCTTCTTCCTGCCTCTGATCATCATGATCTTCTGCTACACCACTGTCATCATCACTCTGAAAAAAACCAAAAATTTCCAGCGACACAAAGCAGTCCAAGTGGCAGTGGTTGTGGTTCTGGTGTTTATTGTCTGCCACCTGCCTTACAACCTCGCCCTCATCTATGACACTGTCAGCATGTTCAAACAAAGCAGTTGTGATGAGGTGGACTCTCTGCTAATGGCGAAGGCTGTGCTTCAGATTATCGCCTACCTGCACTGCTGCCTGAACCCGGTTCTGTACGCCTTCATTGGGGTGAAGTTCAGGAACAATTTCAGGAATATATTCCAGGACCTGTGTTGTGTGAGTAAAGGTTATATATCCCCAAACCGCTCCTCAAGATTCACCTCCAATACCTACATGTCCACAATCCACCAACCAGGGAATGGGACTAGTGAGAAGGGCATGAAAAGACGTCGGACTTAGGAACTCTCATTCCTGCGGAGAGTTCAAACCTGAGTTGAATATTAATCATTTTGTTCTAATATGAATTTAATACAAAATGGAATCAGAGACCCGGAAAAATAAAGAAAACTTAAGTTTTGTTGCTTTGAGTTGAATGTTGATAGGTTTTCTGAAGGATCCATGGTTGCTGATGACAGTATGGTGATTTAAGCCGCTTTCCCACAGCAAACCTGGAATTTTAAAAACCGGGTTAACAATCTGCTTTTGGCTCCTTTCCCATTTTACCATAAAGAGTCTAAAACCTTACTGGCAAGTGCGTGGCCTCTGTCCCCCACCACTGCCTGTCTGATGACGGTATCAGGGGGAGTGTTGGCCTAGTGGTAAAAGCAGTAGGCTTGTGTTTTGAGAAGGTTGCAAGTACCCGCTTTGATCCCCACAGCCTGCATTCTGGGTTCCTGGGCAAGACCCTTAACTCCACACTGCTCCCTGGCGCCCCACGATGGCAGCCCCCCAAGGGATGCGTTAAATGCAGAGATAAATTTCTCCAATGTGAGATCTATAAAGTTCAATTATTATTATTAATTATTATTATCCCGCTTGGTTAGCATTGATGATGTCAACAGTGTGCAAAATCAGGGAAGTAAACAATGGAGAGGAACCATAGCGTAGTCAGTATTCTTTATTGATTTGCTCTATTATCTGTCTGAATCCCTCCCACCAGAGCTGCTCCATGTTTATCGAATGTAAACAGAGTTTTTCTTCTTGTTGGATCAGAAGCAACTGGCGAGGTGCGATTATATGTACGTTGCGTTCAATGTTATCCCGTAATTTAGCGCGTCAAACTGGCATTGGTGTTCCCACAGCATGCTGATCAGAGCCGAGTTGATTTTAAATTGGGTTGCTTGCCCAGTCTCTTTACCTGGACAGACACGCATCAGTGAGCTGTTTCCACTGCCACTAAAAGCCGGTTGTTTCTGGGTTTAAACGGGTTTTTCAGCCAGTGGGAAAGTGGTATTACATAAGCTATAATGATGTATAGTGGTAAACTGTAATTGATAGGAAGTATACAATATTAAGTGGCTTATTGTTTGTATGAGCTTTAAAGGTAGTTAAAAAGAAAAAGCAGAACAAATAGACAGCTCTTCTGATGTCTGGTTCAAACACTGATCTAATGGACCAATGAAGCCTAATTTCCCCTTCCTCTTTTAGAGTTAATGTTTAATTTATGTTGGTAAAACTTTACAAAGAGGTACAGGAAATTTGATTAACTGCTCAGGAACACCTTGGTAACTAATGATGTACTTATGGGTAGCTAACCAATTAGCTCACCAGGTAGCTTACTGAGGAACACTGATTATAGATCCTTTTAATCCTTTACTATCAAATTCCAGACGGAGGAGTTTTATTAAAGGAATGATTTAAAGATTTAATCAAAGAAGTCAGCACATGCCGCAGGACACTGTGGTTGGACTAATTCTTCATTTTGAAAGAAAAACCAGATGTCGTGATGTATTTAAGAGATCTGACCCACATGCTGGAAAACCACTCAGAGAACCAGAGTAAAAGTTTAACAGGTTTATTGAAATAAAAATGAGGTTGATCCAGGGTAACTCAGAGAGCTGATGAACCGGAACTGGAAGTGAGAAGGGAAGTTCAGAGATTAGTTCAGGGTCCGTGGGAACTTTGAACAACGTCTTGCAAAAATCAGAGATGAACGGGTCTCACGTTAGCAGAAAAGATTCCCTTCCCAGAATCCAGTCAGTGTGGGTTTATCCAGAGATTGGGGGGCTTGTTGGAGGGCGGACATGTTTTTGGTTTGGTTGGTTCCTTGAGGAGCAAAGGAGTGAACTGCCACTAAGATTTCAAGGAGAACTTGAACGGGTCGTGTGGAGATTAATCCCCTGCTCAGAGTGAAGCTCAAAACAATCCTTCCAGGGGGAGAAGGCCAAAAATCCAGTTTGAAAGATGACTTCCTGCCGAAAAGGCAAAGACAAAAACAAGGTTGGAACTCAGAAAGACAAAGACTCAGTTTGTTTCAGCAAAACTAGAGTACCCAAAACTGGCAAACACTCTGGAGACAAGGTAGTGACAGTCCACCACTTAACAGTCCTCAGCAATGAGAACAACCAGCCGCAGGTGTGTGGGAGGACCAACGAGAACATTGCGCCACCTGGTGGTGGAGGGAGAGAACACAAAAAACAAACACAGCCCACACACACTGGATTCCTAACACCATAGAAAAAGCTGGTAACCCTCTCAGGATCTTTGTGGAGGGGAAGGGAGATGTTGTAGGGTCCTCTACTGGTTTAAGAAGTTACATCACTGGAAGCTGGGATGACCCCACGAGTTTAGAAACACTCGAATGCAGGCACTTGCACAGAAGACATTTCTCTGTTTTGGTTTTCCAGGGGAGAGACAGACCTGATTGGTTCATAGACAGAAAATCAGGGCCGATAGAAAAGATTTAAGCAAAAGGGCCCAAAGAGAAGGCGAGAACCCATAACCTTGCAAAAACAGAGTCAGAACCATGCAGGCAGAATAAGGTTTACAGAGCATGAGACTGGGTGAGAGCGGTAGTCATGGAGCAGAAGCAAGAAAAAATAAATAAATTCCTGGAGCAGAAACAGTTGATCAGGCACAGAAGGAACGCTGGACATGTCCTAACAAAGGTTTTCAATAATCTGGCCCCATCAAAAAGTTGGGTATTTGCTCAAAGAGGCTGGAACAGGAAAAAATCAGAGCAGATAGGGAGGCCTTTTCTGTGACACAGACGTAGATTTTAAACTGAAAAATTAACAAATATGTCTAATCAAATAGGTCTGTTGCTTGAGTGTTTACACCCTTAAACATATTGGTTCAAAGATTTCTAGATTGAAATTCAGTGTTCGGGTAGGAGTCTATCTAAATCATGACTCAGCAAAAGATTCTCAAAATCTCTTCATTTGTGAGGTTTTCTTTTACCCTCAAAATGACCCCAAAGACTTTATCCGGGCTTGGACTAGGCCAGTGGTCTGCAACCTTCACAAACCCCAAAAATCTTTTTGCCTTCAGTCCAGCAAAATAAAACTTTCTAATGTTACACGACTTTTTAAAATCATTTTTGGTAAATATCTCATTGGGAGTATTTGTTGGAATTTTTAAATTGAATTTTTTAAAGCATATCACTTTCGCTCAAAGAGAATCAATATATTTTCCTATCTGGGGATATTTATATTTGTGAAAATGTGGTAGCAGTTGTTTTTTTGTGTTCTTGAAACTACAATCACAGAACAACAGAAATACATTTTTCCAGAACTGAACTTTTCTTGCAATGAAGCCAACTTTTTATCGATTCCAATTTCTTCTATGAATCATTGCAGTCATTTGCCTGTGAAGTAAAAGGAAACGCAATGATGCTGCCACCACTGTGCTTCACTATAGCGGAGGTGGATTCCTTATTTCTTCTTTATAATTTTCCAGACTGAATGCTGGGATTATATTGCACCCCTCCCCAGAGTGATGCTTTTTACCAGAGGGATCCGGATGATCCTCTGTAACATCTCTGCTCTTAGCTAAAGGATGCTGAGATGAAAACAGAAACTTTGATCAGGACAAATGAGCTTAACTTCAGATTTTACAGATTTAGCACTATAGTAGGCTTAGTTGGTGCTAAACTAAAGTCTTAGTTTAAAGATGTGAA